ATTCATAGCATTTGTCCACTTGCTTCTTGTTGAATTCTTGTTTTCCTTTGTTCCTTGCATTTGATGAATAATTTTGGAATTGATTGCTAGGTCCTCCCTTTCTGAACTTCCTTTTATTCAAGATTCTTTTGAAGCCTCTTGTGATGAGAGCAAGATCATTATCATCACCATCCGAATCTTCATCATCCAAGTGAGCTGGATCATCTTCACTTTGAGTAGTCTTTAGAGCAATATTTCTTTTTGCTCTAGCATCCTCTTCCTCCTGCACTTTAGATTTCAGTTTTAACTCATAAGAGGTTAGTGAGTTAATGATAGATTCAATAGGCACAGAACTTAAATCCTTAGCCTCCTCTATTGCAGTCACTTTATTTTCCCATTCTTTGCCCAATGCATTGAGAATTTTTCTGTTCTTCTCTCCCAAGGTGTACTCTTTGCCCAACACCTCGAGATCTTTGATCAAGTCAGTGAACCTGCAAAACATTTTGTCAATATCCTCAAGAGGTTCAATCTTAAATGATTCATACTTTGTGACCAAGATGGCCTTTCTCTGTTCTCTCACATTGTCACCACCCTCATGGATTTCTCTTAACTTATCCCACATTTCTTTGGCTGATTTACAGCCTTTCACTCTAATTGATTCATTTGAATCTAAGGCACTATAAAGAACATTCATGGCCTTGGCATTCAATGTGAGGTTAGTCCTATCTTGAGCATTCATTTCAGCTCTCATTTTTGGCCGAAGCAGCCCTGTATCTGCATCAAGAAAGTTAGCTTCATGCGGTCCTTCACTCACAATAAACCACAGTTCAATATCAATAGATTGCAAAAAAATAATCATCTGTTCTTTCCAACTAACATAGTTGGAGCCACTGAACATGGGAGGCCTAGTAACAGATTGCCCCTCAACAAACATAGCATGACTGGTTGTCATCTTTACTCCAAGCCGTTAGAGCTTAATCTCAAGGAGACCAAGCTCTGATACCAATTGTAAGTCCCAAAGACAACCAAGAGGGGGGGTGAATTGGGTTGATTAAAATCTTAACCAAATTTATGCATTTTTTCTTTAATAAAAATTTACCTTCTTTTCTAGTAATGATCAACCAAGTAGATTAGAAGACAAGAGCAATATTGATCAGAAACACAAGTATAGACAAGCAATGAGAATTTTATTAAACAGAAAAGTAAATTAGGGAATCAAACCAAGTGTCTACCAAGCTATCCTCAAACTTGAAGACCACACACTAGGAAGAGCAGCTTCTCTTAGATGAAAGAAGATCAACTAGATGTACAATGGAGGGAGCACTTCTTCCTTGCCCTAAGCCTCACTTAGTCAAGCTAAGAAGTTTTACAATTACTCAGAAAAACCCTCAACAAAGCTACACTAAAGATCCTTTCAGTCACAAAAGAAATGCTCACCAGAAATTCACACCACTTTAAAACAAATCTTGCTTTGGAGACTATTTTCTAGCTAAAATATCTCTTGAGATCTTGTAAACAAAGTGTGCAAAGTCCTTCCTTCGTTCAGAACAGTTTGCTTTTAAAGGGGAACAAAAATGGGCTTCATTAAAGATTCCAACGGATAGAAGGCAGATGAAGGGTCAGCTAGCCGTTGGGGCTTTCGGACGTCCGACGATCAAATCATCGTCCGAACCAAACGTCCGAAAACCGCCAAGTTGAAGTTCGGACGTCCGATGAGATTTTTGTCGTCCGACAGCACAGCGTCCGATCGTAGGCCGAGAGTTAGCAAGTTATCTTGGAATTTTTCGGACGTCCGATCTGTTTGATATGCGTCCGAGGTGTGCGTCCGATCCTTCCGGACGTCCGACAGTTTCCTTTCGGCCGTCCGACCTGATTGTCCTGTTTTTGCTTCTCATTTTGGTTGTCTTGCATTTCATGACATATTTGAACCTGATTCTTGGATAGACAAAAACATTTGTATTTGAAGGAGGTTAGATAAACATTTCAAAGTACCAAGAATGACAAACTAGACATACTTAAAAGACAGTATCTTTGATCGGAACAAAACAATGACTAAATTCGTTTATATTATTTCAATCTTGTTTGCCACATCCAAAGCATCGTAGACTGGAGTCAATCAAACATATGCTTTCCTTGTTCCATCAGGCCTGATCAATCTTGGTCAGTATAAACGAACTTTTGTGATCATCAAAACCAAGAATAACAGCTCGCATTGACTCAAACCAATGCGAGTCGAGCACGAGTTCTGTGCGCAATCATCGAGTTCGAGTTCGTGTATGACGATATTCGATCTCGATTCAATTCGATTGCATCCCTAATCGGAATCCCGCTTTTTCAAAGGGCATCCTTAGCTCCAAATACGGATTATAATACTCCTATCCATGACTTGTTTTTCCGTAAAATTTCGATAACGTGAGGGAACCAATCGTAAAGGCCTAATTGTGGATTTGTTTGACAAAACTGAAGAGAATAGGCGCTGTTGCGAATGACTACCGAGTGCATCTAACTGATCACGTTTTTAGTTTTCAGGTAGGTAGTCTTATGAAGGTGCTTCGATTCGTGCTTAGTTTTCGAGTAGATGTTAGTTAATTTTTTTTTCCGTCCATTGTCAGATCTAAATTTTAAGCTCAGATCAAATGAAAATATAAAAAAGAAAAAACTGGATTTTCAAAATTATGATACAAAAAATTACTCGAAATAACAAGAGGAGAACGGCTATAAATACTAGAATTAATCTATCCTACACTGACAGTGTATACACTATCAGCATTGGATGAATAACAACTAGACAAAATTTGAATTTGAAATTCAACTTTTACACACATATCTTGAATTAAATGGTGATAGTGTATACAGTGTTAGTATATATAAGATTTACTCTAAATATTATAGAAAGTCAAACCCCTTAAAGAGAAATAAATTCTCGAGTCAGGTTCAACTCCAGAAAATACTTAGGATTAATCTTATATACACTATCACCATTAGATATATGATACACGTGCAAAATTTGTTCATGTATTATCCATCCAACCATAATAGTGTATATAAAATTTACTCAAATACTTAATGGATGGCTATTTATCTTTCAATTGGGCTTCACTCATAAAAGTAACAAAAAAGTGTACCTAGATCATAAATAAACAACACAATGATGGAGTCAGCAGGTGCGAGTTATGGATTTCCAACAGCCTCTGAAAGAAAGATGAAAAGTAGCAGCGGTGGAAACACTCCTCCTCTTCCAGGAGGCTTTGTCCATAAAGGGTAAGATGACCCGGCTAAACACCAAAGATTTGCCATAACAAGTATATGCCATATGGGCCTATGGGGCCTCTGGGAGAGAGTACTAAAGTGTGGCGGAGTAAAAGTCAGATCCCACATGCAGTCCAAGAACAATTATTCAATAACGAACGAACAAAGCCCCTCCTATTCATTCATGAAAGGTTCTAGATCCAGTACACAAACAAAATCACTACTCAAAAGCCGTGCGAAAAGGACCATACCCCAACTCATCATGCATCCATAGTGTTCAAGAATTCTGTATCATCAGGTTATACATATTTATTTAAATATTTACCCCCACTTCAGAGTTGAAGGGAGAAAGGAAAGAAGAAGCAAAATCAAGTAACGAGAGAAGAAGCCCCCGCGGGTTTAATCACATGGTAGCAGGGTTTAATCACATAGTAGCAGCGTTTCCTTGGGACCTTTAGGTCCCGGGTTCGAAACTGCGCTATGGGGACGCTTGTGCACTTATCGTGCATTGGTTGGGTTGGGGCGCCGGGCTCGGGCCGCAGGGGATTAGTCGGGCCCCGTAAGGATTGACTCGGACACTCCTGTGTCGAAAAAAAAAAAAAAAAAAGTAACGAGAGAAGAAGATAGCATACAAAGAAAAAGTTACAGTTTTATATTTTGGCACCGTAACGAATTTTTTATAGTATTAATAATTATGAATATATGTCACATGTGCATGATTTAACAGCAGTATATATATTTCTTGTATGATTGTTTTTTTTTTTTTTATGCATTGTTAGCGTTAAAATGTCAGGAGTCTCACATTCTTCTCCACGTTTATTCCAACTCATGGAAGAAACGAAAGAAGTTTTTAGAGATGAACTCGTTTATTATTCTCTTTCCTTCTAAAGCTCACAATTGAAAGGAATGTTTGGTTTTTTTTTTTTTTTTTTTTGTTGGTTCCAAGCCACTATTGTCTTGACTTCCAGATTTTTACCATCCAACCAAAGGGTTGGTGCATAATGATTCAACCTCAAAATGTATGAATGTTATGATTGACTCTGCTAGCTAAGTGTTTCCTGGGATTGAAAAGTCAAAAGAGTTACACGTATACTCCCATTCTGAACTTGTCCGAAGCCAATCTTAGACTAAAATCCTCAGCAATTCCAGAGCTCAAGCATATAGAAACGGAACGGGACTAGTAATCAAAGCCAAATCCATCGATTCAGTGACCAATAATCAAGACTGACTACGACTGAGAAGGCTACTTGATTGACAAAAAAAATGACCATGTGAGTTTGTACTTTGTACTGCCAGGGCCAGCAGGTGAAGGGAGGATAATGGGGTACTGATTGCCACATCCCCAGTAAAAGCGTTGAATTGCAGTGAAGCAATAAAAAACATGAAAAAACAAAACTAAAAAAGAAAAACCTGCTAAAGAAAGTGTGGTGGGGGTTGGGTGACAGAGGTTTCATTGCTGCACAGGCTACTACTCCCCATGTAAATTTAAGTCCATGACTCTCACTCCATTATTTCTGCTTTGAGCCAGTGACAGTGTGCAACTCAGAGATATAACTTCACTGGTCTATAATGCGGACAAACATGACTGGTGCGCTGGAAATATGATTGGCAAATCTGAAAGTTTCCACACACATAAGAAAAGAACCGGAAGGAGTCTTATATTGCAGCAAGCTGTGCGGCAAAAATCAACAAATACTTTAAATGAATAGAGCCAGTTTTAATTCATCCGAGGACAAGAACAAAGTACAAAAGATGCAGGCACAAGAGAAAGCTAACTCAGATCCCATCAATTCTGCATTATTTTGCCATTCTCCAGTTAACGATAGATAAATCAAAAAAAAAAAAAAAAGCAACTTTCTACTGTTCCAAGAATAAGGAAAAGATGAAAGACGGGATCTTAAATGAAACCCTTGAAAATAGAAGGCCACAGAATTATGAGCACCAGGAGGCACATTTAGTTACAGGAATGTTTACAAAATTGTAAAACTAGTCCCCCTCTCGAGATATGAGGTACGGAGATCCAGATGATAACAAATTTTTGGTCAATCAAAAAATGTCTGAAGAAACAACCTAAACCAAGGCCACATATCAGAGATCCATAGGTTTTGAGTAATCAATGGAGAAAATTCTCTCAACAACCCATGACAGCACAGTTGTAAACAAAGACCCCAGCATGCTCCTTCACACCAAGGACCTTCCAATCCAAAGTGCCATTCTTGGCCCCCGATGTTGGACTCCAAGAATTCAGCACAATTGCTTCACCTTCTGGGCCCCTTTGACCACCCACAACAAGAAGTTCTTTCCCACAGGCCTTGAAAGCTAGACCCCAACCGTTTGAAGAATCAGCCCTGACTGGGAGTCTTCCTAACACATCCCAAGAGTTCTTTTCCTTGTCATATTTCTTTACCATATTGGTTAGATACTCAACCGCATAAAGCTGGTTGTTAACAACTGCAACAAGAGGTGGTGCCTGGGCAGCTCTATTAACAGTTGGATACATGCCTTCTATTTCCTTCCACTTCCTAGTCTTAAGATCAAACTCCTCCCCACAAGTCAAGGAGTCAGTTGGACTAGTCATCCCACCAATCACGTAGAATTTTCCATCCATGAAAAAACCAGAGCAAAGCCGTCGTGGGCAGTGCATGTTTGGCAACATCTCCCACCTGCCGGTGGCAGAATTATAAAGCTCTGCAGATTTCAGTATGTTACCGTTCTTATCGCTCCCCCCTGCAACAATAGCGATCGAACCAAGACTACTAGATCCAAATAAACACCGAGGATGGTTCATCCCTTCACACTTCACCCAGTCACGATGAACCAAACTATACTTCCAAATAGCAAATTCAAACAACTCACGACCGAAAACCAGCAATTCACTCCCCACAGCTAATGACTCCTTATCGGCATAATTAAAACAGTCATCACAGGGAATTTTAGGCAACCTCATCCATCTGTTTTTAAAGGGATCGAATGCTTCCCATCCCCTTGGATCACATACCAAATACACCCAATGCTCCACAATGCCCAACTGCCTCCGCAGCTCATATAGGTCTCCACTTTTAATTAGCTTATTAAACCTCGCATTTAGGCAAGACAATGAGGAATAATCTGATCTGCATGCCCAAGCAAGACATGTCAATGCAACATCATCATGTAGACCAGGTAGAAAAGAATCATTTGATCCAAAGTTACCCTGATCATCATCACCTACTCCTGACCTCACTGCCACTTCTCCTCCTTTTAATCCCCCCACCAAACAATCAGAATTCAACTTATTCATCTTATATGAAGAAGTCAGCAATTTCTTCAACTTCTGTGTTTCTAAAACCATGATATCCTATCCCGGACAAATTAGAAAAGCAATGAAAAAGAAATCTTGAATCCGCAACTTTGTCAAACAGTCATATTTTTAACCACTTTTCTCTATCTTTCCATCCTGTCCATCAATTCAAGAAACTCAAAAACTGAAGACCCGTACGGAAAATCCACACCCCTTGTTGATATAACGCCTATATGCCAACTTTATCAGCTGAATAGTGAAATACCAAATCAGCTACTCCATTAATTGCTCGAATTTTCACCAGTTTTCACTTCCTTGAAATCGTATCCATCAATTAAACAACCTCAAAAACTGAACACCTCATATGAAAAGTCCGCACCCCTCTTCAAGTAACACCTATATTTCAACTTTATTATACAAAAATACCAATCCCAAATAAACAAAAGCACCAATTTAAGCCAAAAAAATCCAATAAAAATTTAATCTTTAACCAACACTTCCACAATTTTCATTATTTTCTCAGATGTTTTCCTCAGAAAGATAACTTGCAACGACTTTGATGGCAAGTTACCAGACAAATAAATACCAGAAAGAGAAAAGTAAATAAATTTGGATTCGAACCGGGTTTCAGAGGAGATGTTCGGATCTCGCCGGAAAGTTGAAGCATCTACGCCGGAGAAAAGTCAGAGCCTGAGGAAGGAGATTTCACTGCCCAAGAAAAATCGTAATAAATGTTTTTCTGAGGTTGGAAAGGCCGGTAGTTGATTCCCGGTGAACATTTTACCAGAGACACTTTCTGGTGCGTGTCTATGTGTTAGAGAGGGATAGAAAAAGCGGAAGCGGTTATTTGACAGAGAGAGAGAGTGAGTGAGGGCAGGCGAGAAGTGGAGTTTAGTGAATGAGAGACCCAAAGAGAAAAGTATATCTCTCTTTGCGATGCTAGTCCCTGATTAATTAGATAGTTTTTTTTTCTGCCCGGAAATTCACATATTATTCTACATTTTTCCAGTTCAAGTTCCCCACTTTTGGTTGTACTTTGTCGAGTACATTTATTAGATTTTGTTCATCATTAATGAAGTTATTTGCTAGCTCTCTTTTATTTGAAGTGAAACAAGAATTCTAAAATCTAGCAAAGCATGGGGGCCTTTGACTATTTGCTTGTGAAATTTCTCATTATTGTTTGTTCTATCTCATCTGTACAATATATTAATTATTACTTGCTGCCGTGTCTTCTTCAACAAAACATATATATGACAGAACGAATTAGCAATTGATTTCAATTCAAAAATTAACGTATGGTTTATGGCTTTGTAACTAATTTTTAAGGGTAATCTAACTTTTTAGGTTATGGATTTACATATACCAATGGAAAATATGGAGGTTCTTATCATGTTAAAATGATGATTAGTGGACAGATCTCATATGCTTGGCTTTTGAAGCGGTTTTTTTCCCTTCAAAGTGGAAATATTTTTACAATGTTTGACCAATTCGAATTACTTAGTAAATAGATTAGAAGAAAGAAGAAGCAACATTTTTTAGCCTCACTTTCGGAAAAAATTAATAATAGATGAGGTGATCAGTAAACAAGTTTGACCCTTGTTGCCTTTTCTCACCATGTGACGTGGGTTGGACAAAGGCAAAGTGTCAAAGGCAAATCAATCTCTAAGAAGAGTAAACATGGGCTAAGCATATTGATGATTAGATTTAGAACTGGTCAAACACGGTGGCTAAGCATATACTTAGTTATATATATATATATACATATATATAAAATGATTAAAGCAATCATATTCATGCTACTCCAACTAATTTGCCAGTTAACATTTGTCAACATTTGTCTTCTACTAGTTGTTCACAGTTTTGATTACTCTGACAATTTCCAACTGATGAACATATTTGCCATCAGCAAGAGGTTTTGGCCCACAGAAGAAAACCCAAAAAAAAAAAAAGAAAAAATTATGAGGTTTTTGTTTAAAATTCCATTCCAATAATGAATTAATCTTTGGATGGCATGAGTTTGTAGTGCACTAACGTACTGGTCTTATGAGTAGCTTAGGTGTCTGTCATTGTAATAATTTTTGTATCAAAAAAATAAAAAATAAATGGTCAATTTGAATTCTTCCCTGAAAGAAATATATCCAATTCAAGCATTTAAATTATGTAATAATTTGCTTGAAAACAAATTTACGTACAATAATAATAATAATGTCAATCCATACGGCAAAGTGAATGGCAAAAAAAAAAAAAAAAAAAGAGAGAAAGAAAGAAATATACGTGGCTGGCTGATGTTGAGCGTCCTTATTAATTTCCTGGCTGGATCAAACAGTAGAAGTACAAGTCCTGCAGCAGCAATCAACTTCGGTTTGGCATCTACCTGTCTGCGTCTGGTTTTCCTTGCTTTTCAGGTCAGATTTTTTTTATTCACATTCACCAATTAAGATCTTGGCAAAAAGAAAAAAATAAAAACAATTACTGGATGGATATTTACGCTGTTACTATTTATTTTATCGTATAATTTAATAAATAAAAATTATAAAATTAAAATGATAGCGGAAATGTAATTAACAAAAATGAAAATACGAACTGCTTTCCCTCGCGGAATAACGTGAAAAGTACTACTATGGTAAATCCACAAGACCGGCTATATAATGTGTTCATTAAGTTTTTTTTTTAAAATAAAATAAAATAAAATAAAATCTCATAATCGATAAGTATATTGTAGGAATAGGTAAAACAATCAAAACTTGTTGATGGTTCAATGGGTTAAAATATTCGTAGATCCCCTTCCAATCAAAGTAATACAACACACGTACGTACAATTCCATTCATTGCTTTCACCTTTCTCCTTTGATGTTTTTATTCTCTTTTATGAATTACGAGAAAAGTGGCCCTTTGTACTTAGCCCAGAAAGCATCAAGAATTCGTTGCTACCTAATCACATCAAGAAAAAGAAAGAAAGAAAGAAAGAAAGAAAGAAACACAATCACCACTAAGAGATAATATAAAGTACTTGAAAGGAAGAAGAAAAAACTTTGGTTACTTGTCCCTGTCAGCACATGTTTATGCTCCAAAATAAAAACAGAAGTATAATGCAAGCTTCCATAATAGCTCAGGCTACCTTGTCAACTCATCAATAATAATATCAACTTATCCTCCATGTCCTCATAAGCCGTACTTGTTGGAATATAGTAATAGGCTTTTAACATGATAAAAGATGGTTAATTTAGCTGATTTAGTAAGATTATTATTGACTTGAACAATGAATAAATGTCGACATTGCATTTTCTATCGTAATCATATTAGGAAAACAAATGATACGAGGGCTCAATTAATATTAATAGGTGGGAGCAACAGATAATCGCATCTGATGCAAAATTTAAGGGTAAAACAACAAGACTGATAAATTTCACCATCTATCTTAGAATTTTGATTGTGACCCAAAAAACCAAATGAGGTGATAATTTTTTTTTTCTTTTTGGGTTTAGATATTGTAACCAACACTTGTTGGATGATTAGACTATTCAAATGAGGTGATGCCATTGCTTATGAAAGACATGCAGGCTGATAACGTCTCGAGTCAAAAATTCCTGTGGAAGATGAGAACAAAATCCTTGCGACAGCATATTAATGGCAAAGCTGGCTCGCCTCATGCTCCTGCTGCAACCGCAAAACACGCGGTTGATGAGAATGCCGTAATTGTTTGTTTCTTTATTTGTTTTGTTAGGCCTTCTGTCATTGGCGCAAGCACTCATTGTGTGCAAGCAAGATCATTCTGGACGAGCCTGAGGTCCGATGTGATCGAGACTTAGAGTTGCAAATGAATCGAGTCGAGTTCAGCTTTGGCCTAATCGAGTCGAGTCTTGACTTGGTTTTATTGAATTCGAACTCGAGTTCAAACTCGATGAACTGACAATTTTAAAACTCGAGCTCGAATCCCACAGTCCGGCATCCTAAACTTCAAGCCTAGGATACACTACAGAGATCTGAAACCTAAGCTCTGATACCACCTGTGACGGTCCCACCCCCCCTAGGGCGTACCCCAGGGTTCGGCGGGTCGCCTGCCCAACTCTCGCCGGGACTCAGTCGTTCACTACAGTCCTCAATTAAATCGGAATAAATCACAAGAATAAATAGGGCAACGATCCAAAACTTAAAGCGGAACTTATATACATTGTTATCTCCAAAAGAAAGTAAAAATATCGAATATACAAAGGTTCTCCATCCTTCATACGTCCAGCCCGTGCTAAGCACTAGGCGAGAACCACTACAAAAGAAACAAAAGAACTAGACTGGCTAGTCTATGCTCTCATCCTGCTCGCCGTCCCCTGTTAAGGAAAACAAAAGTAAAGGGGTGAGCTAAAAACTCAGTGAGGTTCCGAACAATAATCAAACAATCAATTCAAGACATTAAACATGGAGTATCAATAATTCAAGAAACATTGTAAAGCGATAGTAACACATTCATTAAAAAGATACGAGCTCACATGGAGCTATTCGTTCGTTCGTTCGTTCCCCTGACATTTTTCCTTATTCTTCCAATTATTTGAAAATTTCCTTTTTGAGAAGTAAAACCTTCGTGCCTTCGTTCGTTCATTCATCCCCTTCCGGATGTTGACCGGACTCCACCCATCCGGACGTTGGCCGGACTCCACCCATCCGGACATGGCCGGACTACAAGGTAATACTCGAGTATACCAAATTCACCCAGGGTCACCATATCGCCCGACCGAGTCCGCTTCTGGCTCGAGTCGATCGGTAACGAAGGGCAGGGCCCAGTTCAGCCAAACGGCTTACATTCATGCGTAACTAGCATTTAATCATTTAATCATTGAAAATTTCACATTTCATTTAGGTCGAGTGCGATAAAGTACACACTCGCCTAGAAAACTCGTTTTAACAATCATTGAAAGCACTTAACACATTATCAATCAATAATAACAAGCCAATAAGTCAAGGAAATATAAAAAACAAGGAACACTCACCTATGTATGCAAAACAACGGGTAAAATATCCTTCCGGATATTATCCTCAGTCACCGAGAAAACCTAAATTAAACGAGAAAGAATATTACAGATCATCTAGCACAACAATTAGGTGCAATCAAAGAAACTCGACAATTATTGAGTAGAACGTCCAAAAAGACTTTAAAGTGAAACGAGGACATTTGGACCCGTGGATAAAAATAACTAGGGTTTCATAGACCAAACGTAAGTATACCAGTTCAAATAGAAACTTAGTTCTCGAGCGATAATTTAGGCAGCATGCCCTTTGTATTTTCCTATTTTCCAGCCATTTATGGCTTCATCCTTACTCAATCAAATCCAAGGTTATCCACAACACAATTTCATTTCAATAGCCATTCCGTAGGCTCAAAACAAGACAAGAACAAAAATTAAGCTGATATTGAGTGCGGAAATGAAGTTTACAAAAGACAGTTTTGACATCATTTTACGGTTTTGGCACCGTTGGCACTACGATTATCGGATGGAGGTGAAATACACACCGTTTCGAAGCAAAGAGATAGAGCTACAATGTTTAAGAAGTCCACTCAGTCCAGTTTCTTGTGCAACTCGGCCAAAAATGCAGGAGACTAAACCAGAACCGCAAAAACAGGTGAACAAACCGCATTCTGGTTAATAAACTGTAAGTCAGGCTACCTAAGTCCAAATCAAGTGATTCCAAAGCCATTCGAAAGCTAAGACATCAGGATACATTTCTTCATAATACCTCAAGAACCAATTCAGAAGTATTCCCAACCAAAATAACCCATTATAGAAGCAATTCTCAAATTCGGGTAGAAACAGGGCAGCAGGGGTAATTTGGTCTTTTCTCAGGCTACGTTACTCCGATTGAGCTGAAATTTTGTAGGCACCT